GATTGCATTCCCTATTATGTTTATAGTTATAAGCCTTTCTTTAGACGCCACTCCATGCCGATGCTGATAATACCGCTCACCAGAAACCATCGATTTCTTAATTGCAAACATATCCCAAGCCTTAGGCCAGAGGGCTTCGGGCGTAGTGTTCAGGGTTTATGGGTTCGTCTGGGATCCCCCCCCAAACAAGTTTTCCCGTACTCGACTGGGGGCCCCTCGATTATTCTGATCCGGACTTGTTAGGGGGGGGGGGGGCGGGGCTTGAAAACCAGAACCCCGCATTAGCGACATAGCGAGGTCTACTTCAATACAGAGGCCCGTCATCGTAATCAGCTTGTGCCAAGAAGTACAAAGGTCCTAAGGAGCATTGTTGTCCTCAGAAATTCTTTTCATGGGTTTAACCATTGCTGCGTGTAGTCATGGCTGCGCGCGCTTTTGGGTAGCTTTGCTTTCATGTTTGACATTTGGGCTAGGAAGTGCTGATTTAGTAAGCAGCGCTTCCACATTGAGGTACCCACAATCATGCCTGGAATGCCTACAACTGCTCATGTTGACCCAAAGCGTGTAGTGCCGTTCTCGTAGTTGTCATTACATCAAATTGGACGTATAGGGAAGAAGAAATAATACAAAAAGCCCATGCAACATAAATGCAAACATATGTATTTGAGTAGAGTAGACGAGTAAATGTGATACACACATCCTGGTTTGGGGCGACGCAGGCATTCCACTATGGCTGGGCGCACAAGGAAATGCGAGTACCAAACCGCCTGAGCCGCCGATCCCATCACTTTCATCCCACATCATTTGCACCACACCCCCAGATTCTGATCTTGAACTCCAGGTCCCCTTTGGAGTACCAGAATACTCGCTGATGAGGGCTCCATCGGGTATCGCTTATGATCAGACCGCAGATGAAAGTTGTGTTTAAATTTTTGCACCTTCCAGGTGAACCCTACAGAAGATTGAAGAAGCTGTGGATTTTGTTCAAAGCTTTTGACCTGCGCAGTCTTAGCATCCTACAAGCGTATTCCCACTACTTCCCGCCAGGGATTATGCATCCTAATGCCTGCGGGAGGGAACCCAGTGTAGCATCCTAGGACGAGCAAATGCTTTGCGCGGTTGGGACCTTGTACACCGTAAGCCCTGGAAAGCACCTCGCAGCCCAAAGCAGAACAGACGGCGTTCTACCGCAGGAGCTTCAACTCCTCAGAGCCTTTGAGTCTGTGAACCTAAACCTGATGCCCGAAGAAAGAGTTTGAAATGGCCAGCTTGGGGCCTGGACTCCTGTACCCGAACAGCGCTAGGAAAGCGGAGCTCTTGGCGTTGCTCCTGCAGCAGGTCGCTAGTTTGCATTCGCTTTCGGGGCTTCGTCATATGATGCTTGCAGTCGTGCCGGCAACAAGTCAGAGTTGTGAGCTGGATGGAACTGGGGCTGAAGACTCTCGTCTAGTATGTGGAGCCTGGACTTGCGGATCAGGTAGCCGAC